AAAAAAATGATAAAGTTAAAATAATTATTACGATAAGCCTTGAAGATTTTACATTGATATTTGACAAGTTCTGTGAGCTGTTAAAACTTTTTTTTAAATAAAGATTGTACGTACGCTTGACTTCAAGATTACAAAAAAGTTAATTTGAAAGACAATTTACTGTGTTTGGATAAACTGAGTAAAAATGGGTGTCCTCTTTGTCAATATCTAGGATATCTGTGGTCTAAACCATGTTTGAAAATTGGATTTTAACAACTTCATAGCAATTTTTCAATGGTAAACCTATCCAACAGACGGACTTTTATTTCTCAATACTTTTTTTTTCGTTTTTAATTAAATGCTGACAATATTGCAACATGTGGCTGGCCACATTTCAATGCAAGTTTACCTAACGACAATTGAGAGACATCAAAATAAACGGAGTAAAAAATTCAAAAAATTAATATCCGAGCTGTGTATGCCCAGCTGCCTGCCGCCTCTCTGTGTCATGATTTTTGGCATTGCCACATTGCCATGTTGACCAAAACGGCGGAAATATCAAACAATTGGACAGTGCTCTGCCCAGGCCGTCACTAACAAACCATTGCAAATGCCGAGGGAAAACTCGAAACCGAGTTGCCGAGTTGACATTTTCCAAAGGGACAATTGCACATGGCAATGCGAATAGGGAAAAACAAGTGGTAATGCCCAGGCCCATTGTTTCGCCTAGAGAAACAGCTGCCAGAAACCGAACTGAATCCCTGGGCTGCCTTTGTTCTATAAACATTTTGCGCTGTTAAAATTCAACTTCCGCTCTGGTAATATTTTCTCTTCTTTTTTCGAAATTTTCCTTCTTTTTGCTTGACTTGATTTTAGTGCTGATTTATATTGTATAGCTCGGCGCGGCCTGCAGCCATTTATTGAATATCAAATATGATTTTAAGACGCAGCCAGCAAAAAAAAAAAAGTAAAAAATTGCCTTGAATTGAATTTTATGTCGCAGCAGCTTAGGCCCTGACGTCGACGTTGACGCTGATTCTGATTCTGACTTCGACTCTTGGGTTTTGCCTCTCGCTCTTTCATTTTTTACTGCACTTTACTTGGCGCAACAATAAATTGCCTTTTATATATACATAGAATCTGCGGTTGCATTATGTATGACTACCATGAGATAAACGAGTGTATACATATACATGTATATATAGTATGTATTTTTGTATATACATATAAAAACTCTCTTTGTGGCTTTGCCATTTATGTTATTAATGCGGCGCATGCCTTGCGGCTGCCTTTGTCTGGGCCCAGGAACCTGTTTGCCCAGGAGGCTTTGCTGCCTATTTTTTTGTATGCCCTTTCAGAGGCTCTTATAATATTTCCAAGCGATACGTAACGTATAGATAAAAGTCTCTTAGCCCATCAGAAACATATAATGTTGAATATATAAGGTCCCATGATCTAGCACATAAGGTAAGGTTCTCTGTTTAGTTTCTAATTTTGTTTCACATTTAATGGTATATTTCTTGGTACTAAAATTTGTCTTTTCTCGCACAATATTGTTATATCATATCTGCAGTAGGCCCATATAAGTTTGATTTTTACTCATAATTATACTTTATAATTAAAGACATATTTTACTCATGCAATATTTATTGTCGGAGCACTTTTTTATAGACCATTTTTAATTGTTGACTGCGTATTTCCAATGTCCTTAAATTGAAAGACCTGACAAGTTCTTAGCTACATCTAGATAGGGTATTTAAGGTTCGTTGAAACGCGGTTGTCTATCTTCTTTTCGCTTCGCATGAAAATCAAAGTTTATAGCTGAGCATATAAAAAATATCGTTGATTGATATCGCTTTGGCATTTGATGTAAGTGAAACGCGTGCAGCGCAAATTTCATTAAATTTTAGCAGTTGCCCGCATATTTTACAGATGCCATAATTAATAGCCATGTGGAGGCTTTTGATACATTGTAGAAAACTTGCCCGTTGGCGATATAATTACAAGCGTATTTTACAGCACATGTGGAGATCGATCCGAGGAGTTTCTCTGCAGCTTTTAAATGGGCCTTGTCTAGGGTGTGTAAGCGGCTAGCGGCTTTTAGGTTTTAATTATATTCTTTTGAAGTGCCTTCTTTGAACTTCTTTATGGCGGCTGATTTAGCAAATGGGTAAGAAATGACCAGGCCTAAGTAGTTGATATATTCATTAGAAAATAGTGGGAAACTAAAGTTTCCAAATTAATAATTCTTCAAAAATTGTTAAAAATTGGAAAGCATACATTTTCCATAATTCTGTTTTTCATTCTGCGTCTATATCTATGATATTATTTTATACATATATTTATTTCTTAGTATTTTCCCATTTATATGAACCTTCTATGTATGAAGAAAAAATAAGGTTTCAGAAAGTTATATCAGTCATATCGTTTCCAGAATTTGGTAATCTGTCCTGATAACAGAACTAACATGTACGAGTCATTTGCCACTAACGGCACAGTTCACACTTTTAAGTCCAACAAAAATTGGTGCTGTAGCTAATGCAACCCATTTATAAGCCCATAAACTTCACACAACAGTAGCCAATTGCAGAAACAGCTCTCTCTAACCACCGTATAGCAACGCGCAATCTACTCCATTTCGCATTACGACGCACGTATCTACATCTGAGTTTTTTTTTTTTTTTTTTGGCTGCCTAATAAAACTGGAAAGTCTATCACCGCATGTTCTACTTCGCATTTTGAGTTGCACTCGTGTCAGACAAATCGTCAACAATTCAAAACGAAATGGAAAATTATAGTGTGCGACCAGTTGGTGTTTCAGTAGTTGGACTAAAAGCACGACGGATACAAACCACCGAATCGGACGAACACAGACACCACTCATTATATGTGTGTGTGTCTCTGGAGTGACAGCGGCAGACAGAGCCAGGTAGATGGGTGCTTATGGCATCCAACTGTAAACCGGTTCACGCGACTGCGCAGCGGCAGAGAACGGCCAGCGCGTTGGCTGCGCATGCGCCGGAAAACCTGTCCAGCGATTTGCTCTGCCCCCAAGACAATGTAATGGAAGAGCATCGGCACACAACAACAGCCTCAATGGCGCATCAATTATGTTAATGAAGCTTTAAATGTGTCATGATATTGAAAAACTTGTACAGGTTTTTCACAAAAAAATAAAAAAGACAACAAAAGTATGTGGCCGGCTGGTGCAGCTTAGCCGGTTTTTCCTATGCTGCTGGCAGAAAATGTTAGTCTCAAAAAAAAAAAAAAAAATCTAAAGACCAATTTGCATATGGCGACCTTTGGCAGTCACCAAATATCTCGCGAGCTGGGCCCACACCTTCCAGCCGTGTCATTTTCACAGCGATATTACACATTCTGTTTTTCTTGGCTAACGAGCTTTTGTTTATATTTCACGCTTTTGCCAGCAACGGGGACGGCTCTGACCCTGAGCTGATTTATCCAATAGTTTATGGCCGACACGTAACTGGCTTTCATGTAATGCATGTGCGCAATATTTCTTGGTGGCATTTTAAGTTGCCGTAAATGAGAGTATTTGTACAGATTTATCCTCAATCAGGCTGCAGAAATTCCCCAGTGTCATGTAAAATGTCAGAGCTACATTTATTCTGATAAATATGAAAGTCAATTGCCTTAGAACTAACTAAATGCATACCTAAAGTACGATATTGTTTCCATTTTTTACTGTACGCTGCGGATTTGAATTTGTGAACGTTTATTGAAAAACCCTAAGTTTGGACCGCACTAGAACTAATTTAAAGGTTTCTGTCTTTTGTTATATCGAGCTCATGAAAGTTGAGCTTTACATTACTAATTAACAGGTTTATAATTCTAATACTTTTCCCAGCAGGAAAATCAACAATAGCTCTGTATCTATATTATTTTTCATATTTAATCAAACTTAAGTTTTATAAATTTTAATGAATTTTCTCTTCCTTCTGTACCTAATTTTTCTCTGTTCTGGTCGGTTAATGGTTATAAATTGGTCAACTCTCGAGATCTTACAATTATCTATACCTATTGGTATTAAAATCTACCTATTGGTATTGAAATGTATGTGTATTTCAATAAATATGATGACTTTCTCAGTCATATTAAAAATAAATGGTATCAATTTATTTTTCGCTTAGCCCTGCCTAACTAAAGATTATAATTTCACTAAAAATATTATTTGGTGATCATATTTTGATAGGTAATCCTTGTAAACAAATTCTGTTCAAATTATTATCAAAAGTTATTTGCAGTATTTCAAAGCTGAAAGAGAGGTAACCATATATATAACGTACATATTTATGTATAAAATCATAAAGTTCAACTTGGCATGCTTCGTAAAGTTGCACTTATAACCGCGGGGTTGCCTTGGAAAAGCCAATTGCTGGCATTTGGTTGCAATGAGGTTTACGATTATGATTACGATTATTATGAAATTTTTTATGCGTTGCATTTAATGCAACGTTAAGCTCGGTGAACGGGTGCTGAGGTTGCTATGCAAATGCTTGCAATTTAAATACTGTGAGGAATATGCATTAAGGGTAGGTGGAGATTAGTGAGGGGTGGCTTAAATTAAAGCATGGACAATGTCGGGCAATATTCAATATTAATCATAAAGCCAGGCAAAAAAGAAAAAAAAAAACTTTAAGCCATTAAGCTATGTAAAATTCAAAAAGCAAATTTCAAATCAATATCCATCAGCCAAAAATTATAAAAATATAATTAAATATACTTTAAAAGGCATTTACAATTCTGTAAGTTTTATGTGGGCTAAAAAACAGACTACAATAACTTTAAAGAAAAGTAGATATGAATATTGAAAATTCATTGATATAAAATACCCAAATAATTGTCTACACTTATGTCTATGCAAGACACTAAAGTTGTGCAGCGAATAACTTTTATTTTATAAATAACCGAAACCAAGTACTATCATAGATTGTATAGCCATAACCATGCCAAAGAAAACTATGGAACTATAGATCTTTTTGCATATGCGTATAGCCTACCATATCGGGCCTGAAGTAGACCTGTTGCGTATACATGGAACTTTTCAATGAGGACGTCTTATCCGGAAATAATATGCATTTGCCTGGCATTGTTCCTCTGCCTGAGCCAGCATTAATTGTTGTTGTTGCTGTTGTTCTGGTTGTTGTGTTATTGTTTGCTGTCAGGTGATGATGGACAACGCCCACGTCTGTTTTCTGTGCTGTCAAACTGCTCGTCGAGTTGACTTTTGAGGCGTGTGAGAGGCGCTTCATATGCGTCCACATCTGATGCCAGGGCGCCGCGTCTTTCTATATAGTTTTTTTTGTTTGGTTTTATTTTTTATTTTTTGGGGGTTGTTGGGGTGTGGCGTACACGCAGGAAGAAGAGTAGTTTGTTGTTGTATAGTTTTTTGTGTGCGTGTATATATGTAAGAGAGTGTAAAGGATTGTATTGAGTTGGTTTGTTGGGTGTACGAAAAAATAGAAATAAATACAAATTTATTTTAATTGAATGCGGCCAATTTTTCAGTATTCAAAACTATAATTTGAGTTTATGTAAATTTATAAAAACTTTATTTAAAATAAACAAATGCTATATAGAGTTTAAAATAGTTAATGCGTATATGTTTTACGTTATTTGCGATAATTTTTGGTAATTTTAAAACTTATGATATTTGAGTATTTGTAAAACAGTTTTTCGAAATAGTACAAAGATTTTTGTTAAGATGACCTTTGTCAAAATATTTCATGTTTTTGTACACTTTTCGCTTAAGTTATGATGCCTGAGAAGCTCTTTCTCCCTCTCTCTCTCCCTCTGTAGTATATTGAGTATATATGTAAGTATATTACATACAAACTTCCTTGAGTTGCCAAGCTAGTGAACCCCAAACAACATTCAACTGCACGCACTTAGCACATGGCACACACTTAACACCCTAACACATACACACGAATCACACCCCCCAATATACTCAGCGTGCCCCCCATGTCTCAGCTATTATGATGTCATGCACTCGACTCTTAACAATTCACAATCCATCCAACCAACACTAGCACGCGAACAATTTAAATTTCATTCGCATTTACTTAATGTTTTTATTTTTTTTAGTAAGTACATATATGTGGACAGCATGATGTCAACCTTATAGACTGAAACGCCGGCTATAACATTGCATTTTTGTTTTATTTTTTAATTTTTGAGATAACGGTAGCGTTGCGATAGACGCCGGAATTTTGATAAGGCAGCTTTTGTGTAATTGTTAGAGCAATTTGCTTGATAGGGTTGACTAACTTGATTAACTGGAATATTTATGACGATTTCATGTTGAGGTAGTCAAGCTATTTTTGTAATGAATTTTGAATTTCTTCAAAACTGTGAATCAGTGTGGATTGAAGATAAAAATGCAGATTATTTAAATAACACAAGCATGAGCCGCATGAGGTATTTAGTTTTAATTAAATATATATAATATTACCTCTGTCGAATACTTGGAAATAATAGTTGATTTTATTAAGCTTGATAATTGAATAAAAATACGGGCGAAATTTGATTGACTAATTATTACGGATACATAAAAAAAGCATTTAGTACCATAAGGACATTTCTATTGATTTATCCATTTATTGTTAGGATTTAACTTTACTTTAGTTTTATGTTTAAAGTTTTCTTATGCATCCCAAAATGGTTTGAAAAAAGTATATTTCTAACAAAAATATACGAAATATTGAATTAAGTTAAATTATTTTTTCTGGATTTATATTTTGTTTAAACTTGCTGTTTAATACGCTCCACTATCTGAAATGCGATAAATTGTTATTCATTTTATATTGATGCCTTATCCCAAATATTATTAAATAAAATTTTTGTTTAAATAATTGAAATTTATTTTAGTTCGACAAATTTCAAAATGAAATACTCTACGTTTAAAACACCCTCAAAATATTGTTGCTTATTAAGTTTATATTACCCCTTAATAGTGTTCACTTAGTTTCCCTGTCATGCAAAAAATATATATCGTTTTTATTGTGCCTATTGCACAGTGTACAGTGGCTCTGGCCAAGGCTAAGCCCACAAAACATGCATATGCCACACACAAAGGCCCCAATCATAATATTCATAGCTCAAATTTACAAACCCCAGACCCAATGCGGTCAGCAATGCATTTAAAAGTCATGCCCTTGTCGCTAAATAGGTCTATGGTTTTGGGGTCTCTAACCGCGCCGTGCTCACGTAATACCAGAGAGTTGGTGGCAGAGAGAAATGGTGTGAGAGTGAAAGAGTAAGAGTGCAGGGGGGCATTTCTCTATACATCAGCGACGCAAAACGCTAAACAAATAAAAATGATTTCCGTTCGTCATGCAAACAGTTGTGTACCCCGCCGCCCTGCCCACGCCATTTAGCCAAAAAAAAGGGCAACATGCTGCCATTTGGCAAGTGCAACGGCAGCGGCGGCTGCAACAGCGGCAGCGAACGGAAGCAATGAAAATGGGCACAACAATTGCCCCGGCTTTAGTACCCACACACATGGGTGAGCGTGTGTGTGTTTTGTGTTTGTGTTGTTGTTGCCATGACCCACGCCGCCCTCTGCGCCGACTGCATTTATATGCATGCATATAGTTTTTTTTCTTAATTCATAAACAATTCATGAAAACGGGAAATGGCAATTAAAGCATATGCATGATATGTCATTAAATTATATACAATAGGACGTTGTGAGAGAGTGCCCGACTTGGTGATACTCTGTAACAAGCCCCAAATTGGTGGAGAGAATGCCTGATTAGACGTTACTCTGTGACAAGCGATACAGATAACTTATGTAATATGTTTTTTTAAATTTATTTTTTTAACAGAACATTTAAAGACATAGAAAAGTTAATTATAGTGGATATACAGAAAATTAAATACTGAATTAGATATCTTTAGTTTCGTAAATCTTCGAAGCACTAAAAAAGATATCAATATATTTCAATTTTGAAATGTAAATTGAATGGGTTCTGATAAACGAAAACTTATATTGTCAATTTCCATCTCGGCGCTTTCGTGCATGGCTATATATAACTTAGCTCTCCGTTCCAATTCATGTATGCCTCCCTTTGCCTGTTGGGTGGATTTGCACACGTTTGATATACCCTTTACACTGTCTTAAGGGGCATAATGTATACAGGGCATGCACAACATGTGGAAGAAGGAAGTTTGCCATGCGAGGCTGTACTGAAGGAGGTCAGTTCCCAGTTCGCATATTAAAGATATTAAATATTTATTAAAGTTGCGCCCCCCCACAAAGATAGCAGGTTGCTGTTTAGCTATAATGCGATGTGAATCAAATGCTAACCGAGTTACTCACGCATTCACTCACACGCACACTCACACACTCACTCGTACACTCACTCTCTCACTCACACAATAGCCGCTGATTGCAATGCAACTGATGGAGGGGGCCTCGTCTCGAGCTGCATCTATCCATGATTTTACTTTAGTTTCGTCTTGTCTTATTTTTTATGCCATGGCTCGTTTAATGCAAGGCGGGCGGGAGTTGAGGGGATTGCATGCGCAAGTGCAGGGCGCTTAACTCAATTGCATGTATGCAACAATTCGTTGCAGCTTCGCACTGTGAGCAACGACAAACTAGATACAAACAACAACAACAACAGCATTTGGCATGCAACATGTTGATGTAATATGCAAATTTGATGCTGTGCGCCCCATTGTTTCGAGTTTTTCCGTAGAAATTTGCTAAGTTGTAGGCAACGCTGGCTTGTTTAAGCCGCAAGAGGAAGCTGCTGCAAGCTGACAGTTGGAAGGAATAGAGAAAATCTTGAATATACATATATATGAATAGTCAATTTAAAGCGTATGCTTACTTGAAAATTCAGTTAGATACTTTCAGTGATTTGTTGATATAAAATACAAACATATTTTATTTTTATTTTATATAAAAAATTTGATTTAAGTTCCTTATATATTTTGTTCAATTTTTAAAGTAAGCAATAGACAGATTGTTTTTAGTTTATGGGATTTTTTTTGTATTTTTTGTTTTAAAGAGAGAACAAAAAAGATAAAGTCAAACCAAAAAAAATATATTTCGCTTATTTAAGTTTTGAAGAGATATAGAAATTAAGCTTTCAAATAAGAAACGCAATAAAGAAACGCAAATAAAATTCATTTAGCTGTGCTTTAAAAGTTGTGTAAATCTTGTAAGGAAATGATAATTAGGAGGTTGTCTGCTAATTTATTTGGATAAGGAAATTTAATTTTCGAAAGATAAAATAAAATAATTCTCTATTTCATTCGAAATATCAACTTAATGCAAATATACATCTAAAATGCGCGTTATTTTCGTAATATGACCCTTGGCTTTCTGCCGCACATGGATTCTCTTAGTTTTGAGGTCAGCCCTTTCACACTTTACTTGCCACACTTAGCGGCACTTGGCAACCCACTCTTTATCAATTTCACCCAATTTACATGTTGCCATATAAAAATTAACACACTGCTCTACATATGAACTTGTGCCCACCAAATGCAATCTATCAAAGTGCATTAAAAATAAAAATTGCCCCTCTGCTACAGCTGGGTGCACGTTTCGGGCGTTTCGGTTTTGTTTTTATGGGTCAAAGTGACCGGACCGCTTAATTGTGATATATCACTTCACTCCGAGAGCAACAGTATTCAGATATAATAAAAAAAAAGTGCGGCCGGCAGAGAAGTTCAAAAGCTGTGCCGAAGATCGTGTTAAGATATACAAAAGTTCATTTAAAGTTTTAGCAAATATTTGGAGGAATGGGGTATATTTTTCAGGAAATTACTTGTATGATAATTTGCTATACTCTGTGAAATTAGAAAAATTTCTTTGACTTTCTTGAACTTAGAATAGAAAAATTAGAAAATGTAACCAATATAATTTATCAATAAGCACATCTAATAAAAGTTCTGATAACATCAACAAAGCGAACAAATTTGCTACAAAACAGAATTTATTAATTTTAGTTTTACTAAAAACGGATTTACTCATAAACAATAGAACAAGTTCCAATAATTAATGTACATTTATGAATTAAGATTTAAACAACTCAAATTGAATGTTAAATCTTATGTGGAGTTATCTAATTACTAGGCCTTCTAAGAAAATATTCATTTAAATTATGTTTTACAGCATAGGAATTATTTTATTTAAACAAAAGAATTTATTTATATTAAGATAATTTAGGAACAATTATAATCGGTTTCCATTAATATATCCTTTTTTTAATTATCTGTTTTCTTTGTAGATTTCAGACCTTCTCTCGTACACTTATCTTCTCTCATCATT